CGTAAAATCTCCTCCACCACCGTACTATTACCACTCTCCGCCTCCCCCAGTGAAGTCGCCTCCACCTCCTTATTACTACCACTTACCTCCTCCTCCAGTAAAATCCCCACCACCACCATATTACTACCACTCACCTCCTCCTCCAGTAAAATCCCCACCACCACCATACTACTACCATTCACCTCCCCCTCCGGTGAAATCTCCACCACCACCATATTACTACCATTCACCTCCTCCTCCAGTGAAATCTCCTCCTCCACCATATTACTACCAATCACCACCTCCTCCAGTGAAGTCTCCACCACCACCGTACTATTACAGCTCCCCACCACCACCAGTAAAATCTCCCCCACCTCCCGCCTACATCTACTCTTCTCCGCCACCTCCTACCCATTACTAGGCTCATCAATTTCAACCAAATTTCCCCATTATTCAAGTAAGTCCCAAGGCTCCACTATAGTCCATATCCGTTTCAATATAACTTTGTTCTAAAATCTCAGTTTCTTCTTAACAGGTTTTCTTTTACAAAATCAAATAAAGGAAGGGTCAAAGTCAAAGATGAGAAGAAGTGAACCAAATAAGGATCGTAACGTGGAAACCAAGACATCTCTAACAATGATCCACATCACTTCCTCTTCTTCAATTTCGCTCATTTTCCATTTCTGTAGCATCATCTTCGTGTCTTCATCAAGTCAAATTGTTTCCAAGACCCCTTTAGATCGTATCATACTCTTCTTGTGTTCCGTTTTGTTGTTAAGTCAAAGAAACGGGGTTTCGTAATTTATTTGTTGTGCATACATTTTCTATATATATATATATGTTTTTCATTAATGTAATGAGAGAATGGTTAGAAAATAAAAATGTCCAGTTTCATCTTTCTTAAGCTTGTTTGATTTTATGATATATTTCTATTTTTGAAACATATTATGAACGACAAAAGTTAGAAAAAGACATTAATTCTTCTGAGCTGGGTATCGTTGCTTCAAACGCTGGAAAGTGGAAGTACCATATTTGCCATCTTACTGGCTTATTAATTAATTATGGTATATAGTTATTAGTTAGTAGAGAATCACTTTCGTTCAACTAATTTCTACCTGTTTTTGTCTATATCGACAAGTGAGCAATAAACATCAGATTAAAATTTAAACTTGATGAAAATTTTCAAAATTCAAAAAAAGCAATAAATTAATAAAAACTGTTGAAAATGAATTGATATAAACTTATCCGAATTAGATTTAGTATATAGTTTACAACTTTGCATACATTGTTAACCGAAAAAATCGAACCAACACACATGAAAACCGAGACTATAAAACTAGTGAACACGTGTGAAAGAGCTGGTATTGTACAAGATTATCAAAGTCAGTGGTTCTAATTTGGGCTTTAAGGATAGAAATAGCCAATTTGAGGCCCATTGACTAAACGTATTTGCGTTCGTTTTTTTGTCACCGTCATTTTTTTGGTGCGAGAATATGACTATACTAATTAGATTCCAGTCCTATCATTGACAATTATCATTTATCTCTGGTAATTCAAACGAAGTTATATTAATTTCGTTCTTGATCTCAACAGTAATGAATTTTGTGGATATGGTTTAATAGCTTGATCTTAGACAAAATGTAATAAGATTAGATACGCTTATCCTTTGATTTTCACAAAAAGTGTATGGAAATGTAAATGAAGTTTCGAGAAAAAGAAGATAGTATTATAATACATGAAATTCACTTATAAAAACGTGCTCAGACCAAAGTAATAATTGTGTAAACACGGAAATGAAGAAGAAACAGCTGTGATTTATTTAGCCCCCTTAATATTCTCTGTGCTGTCTTCTCTATTATTCATTTTACTTTTCCAAATCAGTATTTACTTTTTCTAGTTTGTTTATTTATTTATGTTATATTGAATTTTCTCTTTTGGCTGCTATTTTTTCTTCCCAAAACATTTGAGAGAGAATCGAAAGTGCTAAAAAAAAAAAAACGAAGGAAGAAGAGAGCATCTCCACCCACACAAAAAGAGAGAGGTCATAACATCTCTGTCTCGACGTTTCTTCTTCTTTCTACGCAGATCCGAATTCTTATCAGGTACGATCCGATCCAGCTGTTTCCGAAGATTAGATTCATGTTTTAGGTTTCGTTTCGATTTAATTAGATCTGTGGAAGCTGCAATTTGAATATGTCACATCTTCGTGTAACTGATCGATTTTGATTTTGAAAATGAGGCTGCGGATTTTTTTAATCTAATCATTTTTGATTACAGAGTTGGAGCTTTTTAATTAATTTTCATTTTGATTGGATTCATTCTGTTATAACTTTATTATGTGTTCGTTTGAAACAGTTGACATCAAAGGTGATCTCATACGACAGACTTCGTAAAGGGTGTTTTAACGCATTTTGTTTGTTTTCTGGAACACAAAACGAAGATGAAGAAAGTCTTCGGTCAAACTGTCCGAGATCTGTAAGAATTCTAATGCCAATTCTTGAGTTGTTTCTCCATTTTTTTTTTCCATTACCGATGTTTGATTTATGTTCTGTTTTTTTTTGTTTCTTAGCAAGAGAGAGGTTAACAAGAAAGTGCTTAAAGTGCCTGGAATTGAACAGAAGGTATTATCAGTTCCATCAATTGTTTATCTTGGTGTCACTCCTCATCTGTAGCTAATATGGTTAACAGAATTTAAAGCGAGATGTAACAACATGTTGTTTTCTCACCTGTCTTTTTTTCCTATTCAGGTTCTAGATGCTACTAGCAATGAGCCATGGGGTCCTCATGGATCACTTCTTGCTGATCTTGCGCAAGCTTCAAGAAACTAGTAAAACTAACAACTACCACCTTCCATGTGTTCTATATTGTTGTAGCTATGATATTACACAGGATTGATAGATATGTTACTTCTCTTGCAGCCATGAATACCAGCTGATCATGGGGGTCTTATGGAAACGACTTAGCGACACTGGAAAGAACTGGAGGCACGTCTATAAGGTGAATAATTTAAATGACTTGCTGTCTGATTTCCTGTTTATATTTATATAGTATTGAAGGAAACAATTTCCTGTTGGTTTAACTCTTCTATCCAATTCAGGCCTTGACAGTTTTGGAGTACATGGTAGGCCATGGTTCTGAACGTGTTATAGACGAGATTAGAGAGCGTGCATATCAAATCTCGGTAATGACCATGCGCAGTACATTATTTTAGAAGTTTCTAGCATTTGTGCTATATCTCAGCAGTTGATTATCTGACATTCATTTTCCATGTGGCAGACATTGTCTAGTTTTCAGTATATTGATTCCGGTGGTAGAGACCAAGGAAGCAATGTTAGGAAGAAATCACAGAGCCTAGTGGCGTTGGTTAATGACAAAGAAAGAATCGCTGAGGTCAGAGAGAAGGCTGCTACGAACAGAGATAAGTAAGTAGCTTGTGATTGTTTATTTTTCCCGAATTGCTGTAGCTTCCTCTCTGTGTTAGTCTTGCTGGACACTTGTTTCTTTTCTGGTTGCTTGTGGCCTATTATTATATCTCATAGTAGTCTGTTAGTTTCTAGTTGTGGCATTTAATAGTCTTATAGCTTCTCGCTTTGAAAGTTTTTAATTCGCAGAGATAAAAAATATGTCTTTGGGTTCAATAAAAATATTTTTCTGGAGCTGAACTTATTAACCTGACATTATCTTTACAACAGGTATCGCAGCTCAGCACCAGGTGGGATGTATAAGCCGTCAGGAGGATATGGGGACAGATATGATTACGGATCCCGGGATGAAGAACGAAGTTATGGGAGAGACAGAGAATATGGTTACAGGGATGATGATAGAAATAGTCGTGATGGAGATCGTCATTCCAGAGACTCTGAAGACCGGTATGGAAGAGATGGTAATAGGGAAGATGATTACAGAGGAAGGAGCAGAAGTGTTGATAACTTCCCACAAGGATCACGGGGTAGGAGTTCAGATAGGGAAAGGACGTTTGAGGATGATGGCCATTCTTCATCACGGTATGTTTCTCTGATGCTTAAGCTTGCCTTTGGACTTGATCTAAAGACGAAGGGAACTATTTTGAGATTCAGTCAACACAATTTAGTAACTTAGCAGTCCTTGATGTCAACAAATCATGTTTACAGCATCTTTTTAGTCTAGTTCCATATATACAATAAAACATTCCTCTTTATCGTGTAGGGGTAGTAATGCTCGAGCCGATGACAATTCTCAGGACGGGAGGTATAAGTTTGGTCCTTTTTCTTATTATATTAAGTTCTCTGTATTTATGTCAACTCATATCACCTTACTTCGGGAATATCTCTATATATATATGATAGAGGGTCGCTCCAGAGGAAGTTTTCTGAGCAAAATATTGGTGCTCCACCTAGTTATGAAGAAGCTGTCAGTGAATCACGGAGCCCTGTATATAGTGAAAGGTGACAATTCTCTGCTATGCAGATTCAGAGCTACCTTGGTTTTATTGGTTCTGATATATCTTTTTATATGCCAGGGATGGTGGGGAGACCCCACAAGCTGCTGCTCCAGGAGCTGCTTCTCCTCCTCCCCCACAAGCTGTTGCTCCAGGAGCTGCTTCTCCTCCTTCTACACAAGTTACTGCCCCAAGCGCTGCTTCTCCTCCTGCTGGAAGCAACACAGACAATAACTCTGCTGGCTTTGTTACTGAATCTTCTCCGCAGAAATTTGAGACTTTTGATGAATTTGATCCACGCGGTGCGTTTACAGGTACAGAGTTCTCGACATTTGAGATCCTTCAATTCCTAGTTTGTTAGATCATTGGGATTTCCTTAGCTTCTTTGCCTTTCACACTCCTCTGCTCGGTAGAGAATAATTTTCATTGTTAGTTTGGTTTGGTTTGTTATGTACATCAACCTCTCTACTTGTTTTAAGTGTGAACGTTGTGCTTCTTTCTTTTCCAGCTGCCCCTCCAGCTCCTCCGACAGTGGCTTCTACAACTGCTCCGCCCACCTCAAACAATGTCCAGATGGACTTACTTGATTCCCTTGCAGATGTATTTTCATCAAATGCATTGGCCATTGTACCTGCTGATTCTGCATCTGTAGAAACCAACGGACAAGCAAATGCTCCATCGTTTTCTACATCCCAGCCATCAACTCAGGTATTGACACGGGCTTAAGCAGTTGTACTGGGAATGCCTCTTTTCTCTTCTTTGTAACATTTACTATTATTTTTGACTAAAATCTTCGCCCACTATACAGTCGTTCGATGACCCATTTGGTGAGTCTCCTTTTAGAGCCTTCACTTCTACGGACGCCGACTCAAACCCACAGCAAAGCTTTGGCGCTCCTTTCCAGCCAACACCTCCAGCCTTCACCTCGGAGGCCTCACATACTGATACTACTGCTCATAACTTTGGCTTTGAGGACTCATTTTCTGCGGTTGCCAATCCTGAACCTGCTCAAAATGTGCAACCTCCATCAAACTCACCTCCTCAAGACCAGTTCACCACATCTCACAGTGATATTGATATTCTTGCTGGCATTCTTCCACCATCCGGTCCTCCAGCTTCACTCCCACAGCATTCTGGTGCCTCAGTACCAACATCTCAGTTTCCTCCCAGTGGAAACAACATGTACGAGGGATTTCATCCTCAGCCTGTAGCTGCAGCTCCTAACATGCCCGGACAAACTCCATTTGGACAAGCTGTACAACCATATAACATGGTTCCTCCTCATTCACAAAATATGACTGGAGCCACGCCGTATCACAATGGAGGCTTCATGCACCAGCCTGGCTCAGCCAATTACAATCCTGGAGCAGTAACTGCACACCCTACAAGCGAAAGTTTCCTTCCACGACCAGTTTCTGCCACTTCATCGAGCTCACAGACTCCTTACTCTAACCCTAGTGGACCAGCTGGTCAGTTCGTGGCACATCAAGGTCATGGAATGCCGCCTTCCCAAGTTCCACAAAGAACTCAATCCGGACCTATTACTATGCAAGGAAACAACAATTTCATGGGAGACATGTTTTCACAACCTGGGAGGACAAACTCCTTGTCGTCATCTTCATCTCAACCAGATCTCACGCCTTTTACAGGAGCGATTGAGGTTGTTCCTCAGCCCCAGAAAAAGTTTGAACCAAAGTCATCAATTTGGGCAGACACGTTGAGCAAGGGGCTTGTTAACTTCAACATATCTGGACGTAAGATGGATCTCCGCCACAATAAAAGTCCTCTGGTTTAAGCAAATTTTCTAACATCTTCCTTTTCTGTTTATGTGCAGCTAAAACAAATCCATTAGCAGACATAGGAGTCGACTTTGAGGCCATCAACAGGAGGGAGAAACGGCTAGAGAAACCGACAAATGCACCACCACCAGCATCGACTATAAACATGGGTAAAGCAATGGGATCAGGCACTGGCTTAGGGCGTGCTGGTGCAACTGCTATGAGACCTCCACCAAATCCAATGGTAGGCTCTGGCATGCCAATGGGAGGCGGAGGAATGGGTGCTGGTGGATACGGGGGTATGAACCAAAACCAACAACACATGGGTATGGGAATGAGACCAGGCATGAACATGAACATGGGAGGAGGATATGGCCAAGGCTATCCGATGCAACCACAAAACCCTAGTATGGTCCCTGGTCAGAACATGCCAGGCAACAACAACTACAATCCAATGATGGGTCAAGGCGGTTACAATCCTCAACAACAACAATATGGTGGTGGATACCGGTAAGAGTCCAAAGCCAAACATAAACCACACTAGACTCCACTTGTAAAATCAAGAACAGAACACTCTATTTCCTTACATGAGAAATGTTATATCAGTCGATGAAATGCCCCAGCCGCTTCACGGAAAGTACTCAGGTTCCTCGGATTGTTCTTTGCCTTGATCTTCACTCATCATTCTTTTTCTCCTTTTTTCTTAGTATGAACATAATTTGAGAGGGCTTTGTCGTGAAACTTGAACCGGTTGAGAGAGTGGCAAACCTCCCTCGGGTTTGCCCTTTTTGTTATATGCATATTTTCTTGTCACATTTTTTTTTTGCGTTTCACGTATTGAATATTTGTAAAACACTTTCCATGCACGGGACAAATAAAATATTTTCTCTGTTTTGTGTTCGTAATATTTGTTCCAATTTGATTTCGGTTTGCGATCCGAGTTTATCTTGTAAACCACAGCCTCAATTTCCCGGTTTGGGTTAAATATATATAAACAATTTTTTTATTGTGCGCGCGTCAAAAGACAGTTAAAGAATGTCACGTGAGTTTATTAGGGTTCACGTGATCATCTCCTTTCCTTCTTCAATAGAGAAGACATCTCTTGTTACATCGGCCGACATCATTAAAAAAAAAACATAACTTTGTCTTCGTTTTCTCTCTGTTTTTTTCCGACCAATTTAAACTCAGGTCAGTAGCTCGCCGTGAATAGACGGTCTCACTTTCTCCGTCTATTAGTAAGGTTAATTTCATTAGTTTTGCTAGTCCTTTTGGTTAAGACCTGAACTTGTGTTGGATTAGTTTCTGCGTTGAGTTTAGCTACTCGTTTCTTTTCCGTCTAAGGTTGATACTTAATTGAGCTTTCTCGATTAGTAATGACACACAAAAAAAAAAGAGCTTTCATAACATCACAAGCTCCTAATTCTATTTAAATTGATAAACTTTGTAGAAAGATTTGTGCTTTCTGTATGCTTCTTGTTATGTTTGAAAGGAATGATAATTATAATCTGTTCTTTTTTTTTCTTGTGTCTTGCCCTATCAGTAATCAGCTTTAGAAAGACTAGGTTAGTTTGCAATGGCTACAGCGAGTGTTGTTCATGATCCGAGAAAACGTTCAATGGATGCCATCCAACAAAGGCTTCAAAAAGATCAGCTTCGTCAACAACAACAACAACAACAACAAAAGAATGAGAAAGACAAGAAGGGAGTTTCTGATGATGTGAATGTCTCTTCTAAAGAACCGCATAAACCTCATTCACTTCCTACTCCTACAAAGAAACCAATCACAAAAGGTTTTTTTTTTTTTTGATTGATTCACTTTATAATGGACTTTGATATTGATTGAAAATTGGCTTTGTAGATCACCAGGATGATGGTTTTGCTGCATATACAAAGTTGTCTCATCCCGTTGATGAGAAGTTGATGGCAGCCAATGTTAAGGTAGTTTTAAGTCGTTGAAAAGATCAAACTACTTTCTTCTTCTGTATGGTTTTGAGATATTGGTTGCTCAGTTTGTGTTTTGTTTTTTTTTTTATTTAGTTTTCCAGTGGAAAGAAAAATATAGCTGACAAGGTTTTGCATACTCTCCTTAGAAGTGGTGACTCTGCTCAAAAGTACTTGCAAGGTAAAAATGAGAAGAAGGTGGAGGAGAACAACTACATTCTTCTTGACAATTTCGTACAGTCACGGCCCTCTTCATCTTCCGCTTCTAAAAAGGCATCACTGTTGAACTCAAAACGTTCTAAAAGCCGTATGTCTATGAAGCGACTCAAGAAATCTGGTGCTTTAAATCTGCCTCAAGATCTCCAAAAGTGAGTTCTCTTTTTTTTTTTTGTTTATTGCTTTGATAGAGAGATAGAACTGCCTCATCTTACTCTGATGTTTTGAAGAGAGTTTTTAAATGTTTACTGGTTCACTTGTGTGTTTGGAGTGCAGGTTTGATTTGTATAAGCCAATGCATGGGATGTGGGAAAGTTACATGATGAAACTCATCAAGGTGACCGGGTAAGCTTCAACTACTTATCTGATTACCTACATACTATTTTAGGCATTGTGCTTTAGGTGTAATGTAGGTAGGCACTCACAATCATTTTAAGCTTGGTGACCATTCTTAGACAATCTATCCTTCTTTTTGCAGGAAGGCTCAGTTAGCCTCAAATCTTCTAACAGCAGATCTTCATGGTGCCTTCATGTTTGGTAATCATATGTTCTTTTAGCTCCCACTTTCAGAAATCAACTTCTCTATGCGTTTAATCAACACCTTTAGACTTGGCTTCCTCCATGAACTGTCCACACGCAATATCTTTTTTTTTTCAAATTGTAAGTTGTTTCTTCTAATTAGAGCAACATGTTTTACTTATGCCAGTTGCTGAATGCAAGATTGAATCATTCACTGGTGTACAAGGCATAATGATTCGCGAGACATCCCAAACATTTGGAATAATCACAAGAGATGATAAACTTCGAGGTAAGTTAATAAGCTTTTCACCCCATTATTTGTGAAACATTTGTCATAATCTTTCTTTCTCTTCCCAAGCTTCAAGTAGACCTTAGCTTAGTATTTGTTTATCAATGTGGATTCAGTTGTACCAAAGAAGCCTTCTGTCTTCATCATCCAACTCGACTGCTGGAAAATCACATTACATGGAGACAAGTTTACTTCAAGAGACAATGTTCTTCAACGTTAATGCGGAAACGAAGCATCTTGTCTTTTTCTTTGTTTGCTTGTAGTAAGCTACTATTGATGACCACTGAAGCGTCCAAGTCTCGCAAGATTTTTACTTGAAAGTTTTCCTGATGTACCTAACATTAGCTACAATATGTTATACTGTTTTATGTTGATATGCTAATGGTTATTAGTAGAAATTTATAAAACAGAGAAATCGATCTTGGTGACTGATAATGGAGACAAAAGCACAATTAAATATTCCATTTCAGAACAGAGGGAGAATCTTCGACTTCTTAACTTAATGTGATAACTTAAACTCCACAATTGTAGTCTCTAATCTTGAAAACCTAGTTGTGGAAGTCTAGACCAAAAAAAACATGAATCCATCACACCAACACTTACAAAAGCGCTGTCCTAAGTCTCATTCTTCTCTCTGTTACATGCTCACCACTGTCTGAACCATCCTCCACAGCTTCAAGAGCCTTCCATGTCCCATCACTCCTCTCTTCCAGAACCAAATATCATTATCATCATCTTACTTCCCACTCTGTCCCAAGTACTTGCCTTGTCACAACCCTTGTTGTGTGTTCATGTTGTCGTTATTACAAGATATCTTTTTTGTAGGATATTGTTGCGTGTTTTTGTCGTGTCTTAGCCATCTGTTGTCCTGTCTTGAAAATCATTTCCTCCTTGTCTGTCTCTGTCTAAATCAGAAGAATAAATAAAGAGAGAAAGAAAGAGAGAGAGAGACTTTGCTTCAAAGTTTCTTATTTCTTTAATTACCAACATAATATTGGTGCCATATTTGGGATGTTGGTTCTATTCTTGAACATGTGTTTGTACCCTCTCTGTCGCTTCCTTTTGACGTTTTCTTAGCTGTTTTTGTTTTCTTTTCCCTCTTTCTCTATTCCTTTTTATCTTTTGTGTTTCTCTCTTCTTTTTCTTCTTTCTTTGTTCCTTGGCTATTTGGGGTTCCTATTTTTCTCTATCTATTTTCTCATTTTAATTCGTCCTCTCTGGTTTACTGCTCGTGTTTCTATTTTTATTTTGCTTGATGGATCGTGATTTTCTTCGTCGTGGCCAAAAGGTAAAACCAGCTTTGATTCCATAAAAAAAATGTCACAACTCTTGCCTGATCATGTAAAGGTGTTAACGTTATTAGGCCATTACATTTCGTAGCCTGTTGTTTTGTTGTTGCATAATGGTGATTAAGAATCATAAACTAAATCTAATTTACCTCTTTATTGTTGTTGATGATGATAGAGACAAATGTTGTTTGATTTGATGACAGAGTCCTCTGTTTTTTCTCCCTTTTAACGTTTTAGAACATCATCACATCAAGTGGTTTTTGATGAAACCTGCAGGGGAATGATCGTTCACCAAACAGCCGCTTTGTTCGGCTGGATAAAACGAGATCTTCAGACGATCTTGACATAGGCAAGAAAGGGAAGATGCGTAGATGGCTATGTTGTTCATGTCATGTCAAAGAAGAATCTTACCACCCTTCATCTGAACATAACCGATCCAAAACCCCTCCTACACGCCACCTCGACTACGGTATATCATCATCCCTCTTTCTTCAACTAAACCTATTCAATTAGATATATTCTTAGCCCTCCTTTAATCATTGCTTGTTTCACAAGTTAGTTGTAGCTTTTGTTTATTCTTTCCTTGTGTAGGACGTAACAATAAGAAACCACCAGCTCCTATGAAGCCTCCTTCAGTCCCGAAGGAGCCTACTACTATTGACGTCCCTGCAATCACATTATCTGAGCTCAGAGAAAAGACTGAGAGTTTTGGATCAAAGGCATTGATTGGGGAAGGATCTTATGGAAGAGTCTACTACGCAAACTTTGATGATGGCAAAGCCGTGGCTGTGAAAAAACTCGATAACTCATCAGAACCAGACACAAACGTCGAGTTCTTGACTCAAGTCTCAAAGGTTTCGAGACTCAAGAACGATAACTTTGTTCAGCTTCTTGGTTATTGCGTTGAAGGAAACGTTCGTGTCCTTGCTTATGAGTTTGCCACGATGGGATCTTTGCACGATGTTTTACACGGAAGAAAAGGGGTACAAGGAGCACAACCAGGTCCAACACTTGAGTGGAAGCAACGAGTTAGAGTCGCAGTTGATGCAGCTAAAGGATTAGAATACTTACACGAGCAAGTTCAACCTCCTGTTATACACAGAGATATTCGCTCTAGCAATGTTCTTCTTTTCGAAGATTTTAAAGCCAAGATTGCTGATTTCAATCTGTCTAACCAAGCTCCTGATATGGCTGCTCGTCTTCATTCCA